AACAGAATCTGCATTTTAACAAGATCCCTAAGTAATACTAATGCATATTAAAGCTCGAGAAGCCCCCAAACTATATGCCACAAATAAATGCCAAATGTTTGGTCCCTTGGCTTGTAGCACATGGTTGTTTGTTTCCATTGTCTAATTCATTAACATTTTTGACACATCCCTATTTGTAACATGTTTTTTTTAGCATTCATCTCTATATATGCACATTTGTTTTACTAGTAAGATATATATATATATATGCATAATAGTGAACAATTATTAGGTGCATTATAAAGCATGCATAAGGATAGAAATTTAAAGCTGAGCTGAAGGTGAAATAAGTACATTTAAATTTGTCACTCATTATTATGACTTCATACAATCGATAGCCACAACAATCTCAAAGCTTGATATACAAACAGAATGAAGTTTGTCACCAATAAATAAATCCATATTTTGATTATTCCTCATGGGAGTTTTGATTATTTCAGACTGACTTCATTTCGATATGAATAGACCGTCATTATTTTAACCCTGTGAGAAGCTGTTGAAAAGAGGAGGAAAATCAATTCTTGTGTTCTTGGGTTTGCTTTATCAGTATTTTTTCCATGCTTTGGTTTTGTTATGGGGGATATTTTAAAGCCACATGTCTCCTTAGTGATGGTTGGCTTAGTTGAAACTAGATGAGTTCATCTGTATGTCCCCTTTCAGTGTGCACACTAGCTGCAGTATGGGCGTTCCAACTGCGCCGCCATCAACACATATTAAACCGCTCCCTCATTTTAAATAACTGAAGACCCTAACACAGAAGTTCTCATACGTCCCTCCCCCCTGCTGGATCGTTTCCTGCAGTCCTTGGAGTGAGTGAACCACATCTTGAAGACTCCTTGTCCAAAATATGGAGGTCTCTAAGAATCCTTGGCTCTGCCGCATGCTCTGGGAGGGGCTGTCCTCGGCTTTGGGGCTGGATTTTCATGAATTTCGGCATTCAGGATAAGCCCAGGGGATCTGCAGATGGCAGTGCTCACCGAGTTCATGGTACCTTGTCCTGATTACTTTACTTTGTTATCCTCTTGAAAACCTGAGTACTTTGGAATTTTGGAGTGACCCTAGAGAATCTGGTGAAAGCTATAGCTTCTTGTTCAAGAAAAAAATGCACACATAAAACTTCCATTCAATTTCAGAGGCTCAGAATTCCCCTGAAGCGCATGATGAAGAACCTGTTTAGAAGTGGAAAGGGCAAATTAGGTTTTGGAGGCATCTGCTCTTTGTTTCAAATGTTCCTAGCTTGTGGCCCCTTTCAGTTTTATATCCTGGTTATTGCACAGAGGTGAGAAGGTGCCAGAACTCTGATTCCAAAGACACTCAGCTTTGCATCCAAGTCCTCTGATGATTAGCTGGGTTAACTTGGGTAATTATTCACTCTGTAAAATGGGTGTAATAATCCTCACCTTGTAACACTCTCCTGGTTTGCCACCTTTCAGCTATGTCGACCTTCTTGTTTGTCCCTCAGATACCTGAACTCTTGCCTGCCTCAGGGCCTTTGCACTTGCTGCTTTCTCTGCCTGGAATGTTCTTTCCATAACCTTTTTGTGACCAACTCCTTCATACCATTCAAGGCTCAACTCAAATGTCACCTCCTCAAAAAGTCTTTTCTTGATCAACCTGCCTCTCTCTCTTTCTTTATTTAGAATTTCTTGAAAGTGTACAGTTTAGTGGTGTTTAGCATATTCAGAAAGTTGAGCAACCATCACTACTATCTAATCCAGAACATTTTCATTGCCTTAAAAAAAACTGTCTCACTTATTAGCAGTCACTTCCCATGTCCTATAAAAATCCATCATCTTTCCCTGGCCAGGTGGTTCAGCTGGTTGAAGTGTTGTTCTGAACACCCAAAGGTTGTGGTTCCATTCTCTATCAAGGCATCTAGGTTGTGGGTTTGATCTCTGGTTGGGGAGTGTACCGGAGGCAACTGAACTACCTTTCTCTCTCACACTGATGTTTCTCTCTCACTTCCTCTCTCTTTAGAATCAATAAACATATCCATGGGTGAGTATTAAAAAGAATCTACCATCCTGACCATTTTAATTCATACATGTCAGTACTTTTTTGTATATCACCATCACAACCATCTAATTCACGTATACAGAGAAACTCTGTATATGTGAAACAGTCACTTCCCAGTCCTCCCTCGTCCAGACCCTGGCAATCTTCTAATCTACTGTCTGTCTCCAGGTTTGCCCTTTCTGAACATTTCCTACAAATGAACTCATACAACATATGGCATTTTATGTCTGGCTTCTCTCACTGAGCATAATGTTTCCAAGTTTTATTCATGTGGTTGCAGATATCAGTACTTCATTTCTTTTTATGGCTGAATAATACTTCATTCCATAGAACCCATTGTGCTTACGCATGCACCAGTTGACTTGGGTTGTTTCCGCTTTTGTGCTCCTGTGAATAATTCTGCCGTGCACCAGTCTCTCTTGACCATGTTATACTTTTACTTACTTAAATTTTGCAGCTCTTGTCTTTTTATTGAACACATATATATTTTTTATTCTCTATTCTAGAAAATAAGCAGTCATCTTGTTCATCTTGCACATTGCTGTAGCCTCAGGGGCTTGAATAGTGCCTGGCACATAGTAGGCAATAAATGTTTATTGGGTGAGTGAATGAATGAATGACTGGGAGCTCTTGTTACTGCCTTGTCTTTTAGCAGACTCAGTCTTTTCCTGTAATGCATGTGGAACCCTTGCTGTGTTGACCTGTGTCTCTCTCACATCTGACACTTTCACCAGCTATGGTTCTTGGCCTGTTGTCCCATTGCCCCACAAGCACCTATTCCCCAAAACTTGGGCCACTCTACCCTAATCTGGTATTGAACCTGACTCTGCAGGAGACTCCATTGAGGCCTTATAAAACACAGAGCAGAGCTCAATCTCTGGATTTTCGGAGTCAGTGGGTCTGGGTGGATCTGAAAATTTGCATTTTAACAAGGTCTAAGGTGATGCACTTGCTGTTGGTTGGCGGATCAGTGTTCAAGAATCTCTACTAAGGTGGGGTGAGTTTCAGCAGATAGGCTGGGCTCACTGAGTTCATAGGTGGCATGTGTGGGCCTCACCCAAACAGCTCATCCTCCTTCTCTGTCCCCCTTGATTTGGACTCAGAGGGTTCTAGTTAGTTAAGAACATCTGGAGAGATCATAAAACAAGGCAGTATCACATGTGGGTGTGCACTCTGGAGAAGCTCTCCCTAGTCCAAGGGGGCATGTATGCGAATGTTTACTGCCATGTTCATTACAGAGGCAGGGGGTTGGGGGCCATCGAAGAGTCCATAATTAGGGAAATGAATAAGCAGGGCTGATAATTCTGCTGGTCCTCAATAAAACAACGATGCCTAAAGCTGGCATCCATTTTGATTGGTTGGCTCCCCTGCCAGGCTGGCTGTACATTGATATTATTATTCCTGTAGTCAGTAAACCATGGTGGCTGCATATGTAGTGAGTGGTGGCTGCAAGTGAGCAAAAGACACACACATAGACAACTTCAAATATTAAATATCTTTTGAGGATATTCCTATACCTAAGTCAACAAATGATTGAGGGTTGGTACAGAGAAAAAAGTGTATTGGTGAGGTCTGACCTTAGGTGTGATGTGTTTGACAGTTGTCTGTGCTCTGTTAGATGCCCACACCGAGCTTCTTTCCTAAGCTTGCATTTCACTGTGAAGGTTACTGTTACATCTTAAATCATGACTGCCCCCAAAAGAAAGACACCAAGGTCCTAACACCCCTGGTCCTCTGAATATGACCAGAGGTATTTAGTTAAGATGAGGTCATACTGGAGTAGGGTGGGCCCCTAACACAATAGGACTGGTGTCCTTAAAAATGCCCATTGAAGACAAGGCACAGGAAGAATGCTCTGTAAGGGTGGGGGCAGGGTTTGAAGTGATGCAGCTTTAAGCCAGTGAATACCAAATATTTCCAGCAACCCACCAGAAGCTAGGAAGAGGTAAGAAAACTTTTAGGGTTCAGAGGGAGCATGGCCCTGCTAACATCTTGTTGTTGAACTTCTAGCCTCCAGAACTGTGAAACAATACATTTCTGCTGTTTTAAACCATTTAATTCCTGGTACTTTGTTACAGTAGCCCTAGGAAACTCATACAGTCACTTTAACACCCCAACTGGTTTCCTTATTTATAAAATAATAGTGATAAGAATATTGACCCTTGGGTGAATGTCAAGGAGATTACACAGGATGATAAATGGAAGGCACCTGAAACACTTCTGGCACCCCAGGTTCTACGATTTCTCTCCACCTCCAGCTATTGATTAAAAGGGGCACCAGCATGGAGTGTGTAAGGATCACACCACATCCTCCATAGCTACAGGAAGCCCCCCATACTCAGTGTACAGGGCTGTGAATACCGACTCTTGTTGAAATCTCCATGCTACAACTCAACTTGCTGTGTGACCTTGAGCAGGTTAATTCACCTCTCTGAGCCTTATCTGCAAAGAAGGAGTAATAATCCTCATAAGGTGTTTATAGGCTGCTTCATCGAATTAAGGCATGTAAGATGATTAGCATAGTGCCTGTGTATAGAAAATACTCAGTAAATGTAATTTGTTACTAATGGTGGGCCATTGCTATACATGAAGTGTTGGTATCTAGTATTAAATATAAGGGGGGACTAAATCTATGGGATGTAGATGTAAGACATACATCCGTTATTTAGTCCTGTCAACAGTTCTATGAACTAGCTAATACTGCCATTACACAGCTCCTGTGGGAAGCACATGAGCTGTTCTGCACAAAGTTCTTATGTAACCTCAAATCACACTGACATTACTTACTTACTGTGTCTCCCACCCTGCCCCCCATCCCTAACTAGAATGGTGGCTCCATGCAGGAAAGGGGTCTTATCTTTTGTTCACAAGCACAGTGCTCACAGCACAACAGATGCCAGTCATTGTGTTTTGAATGAACAGATTTAAATTCTTTTTCCTTTTAGGGCCCTTGCAGATGTCATGAGGCCACAGGGCCACTGCAACACTGACCACATGGAGAGAGACCTGAACATTGTGGTCCATGTGCAGCATTACGAGAACATGGATACCAGAACCCCCATAAATAATCTTCGTAAGTAGAGCTGCATGGTCCATTTCCAGTCCCACGTGGTGACCAAGGCAGTGATCATACTTCCAGATCTCCTGGTGTGTGTTTGGGCCCAGTAAGAGCTTCTTTTTGCTGACTAGTTAGAAGTTCTATTTCATCTCTCCTGGATGAAGCTTTACTTACCATTGTCAGAGTCCACTTGGTTTGTTTCTCTGTGAAAGTCTGATATACTTGGTTGATTTCTCACGATTGGTTCTTCTGTTAACTAACAGACCACTTGGTTGGCTCATCTTGGTTGGGTACTTAGTTAGCCAATGGATTACTCGGTTGGTTCATCTTAGTTAATCTCTCAGCCAATGACCCATTTTGTTGGTTCATCTTGATTGGGTAATTGGTTAACCAATAGCCCATTTGCTTATTTGTCTGCCTCCTGAGGTAGACCAGTTGTGACTTTTAGGCTTTATACTGTTTTCAATGGAAAGATACTAGTTCAGAAGAAATAGATCTATTTTTCATAAAACTAGAGTTTCATAAAAATAATACACAAACTACTTTTTGTGTGTGCATGTGTGTCCGCTCCCACACCTTTGTGTGTTAGGAGTTGGGTGGCAATGTTGTGTTGGGGTGTGTATGTGTGATTCTACAATAGCAAATTCATTCTGTTGTTCTTTCAGGGAAAAAAAAACCCCTGCATTTGTTGTTGTGTTTCAATCTTTAGCTGATGGAGCCTACTTGGGGATCTCGGTATGCTCCCAAAGGTTTTCCTTTTTTCAAAGGTCTGTATGTACAACATACATTATGGATTTGATGCGCTGACTAATGGGAGTGGGGAAAAGCAAGATTGTTTAGTTTTTGACAATAGTGTACCACCGTGGTTATTCCTAGCAATTGTGTTTTCTAGTAACCCCCACATTAAAGTAGTGGAGAGGGTTTGGTTTAAAATAACAAAAGCCAGAGAATTTAAAGGATGCATTTACTAATGCTAGATGCATGGCTGAAAGTTCTTAAAGTCAGAAAAAAGTTCTGGCATTGAACAATTCATAGCCTGGTTCACCTTTGCTGAAGCCCCACAAGGAGCTGCATTGCTGTTTTAGTTGTTGAATCATAGTTTGGGCTGTTTGGTTACAAATTTTTATGCTTGATGGGTAGAGGGATGTGTCTGTGGAATTTGACAGAGGTGACACGAATCCTCTGATTCTGCGTGGTGTTAATTTTTCATGGCCTTGGAAATGTTACAGTCTGTTCACAAAGTCAATGTTTACATGATTTGAAAATGGGTACCAAATAGAATGTCTTAGGTTTCATTGTTTTAAATAATTCAACATTATTTATTTATGACAGTCATAAAATGTATGAGAAAAGCCACATTTTAGAACCATGTCCAGCAGCAATTGCAAGTTTTATGATCACATCTCACAGCCATAAAAGATACGCTGTATTGCACTGGCTCTGACATGGCAATAGCTGTGTCTGGTCCCAGCTCCGATGGAAATGGGAGCCTTCTCTTTTAGATAGCACTGGGAAATGAAAACCTGAGTGTATGTGGCTCTTGATCATCATAAGTGGGCAAACGTGGTCACGGAGTGGACAAAGCTGCAGTGGTCCTGTGTCTCTGGCTATGGAAGGTGACTGTTCATAAGTTTCTTATATGACATTTCAATCAAATGGAATAACAAACTTATTAAAGTCATCTAAGCGTCATCATTCCATCAGGTGAATGGCAGGGTATATTAATGAATCTTGCTTAATAAGGGACTTTAAAAAATTGTAGTGAAATAAATGACTGCTTAGAAATGGGAGTCCTGGCACCAAGTAAATCAGAAGTCTCTTGCCACAGACTGACTTGGTTTATTTGTCATTTTTGCTTTTAGTCAGTATTTGTGTCTTAGTAATCATTGATCTTTTACACCAAGAAAAATAATGTGTTTTGTAGTGTTCTACATAGGGGGAATTTCAGGTGTAATGGCACAACATTGCATTCTCACAAGAGTTAAGACAGATATTAATTTCATATAACTCTGCTGGGTTGATCCAATCCTTATTTCCTAGAATTCCTGGGAACATTTGGAAAATAAGACACATATAGCTTTCCTACAAATTTGCATTAATAGGTTTAATTTATATAACTAATTCAATAGTTGGTAGTAATGATAGATTTTCTTGTAATGACTTTATCTTTTTATTGATTTATAAGAGCCATTTATATATTAGAGATGCAGGGAAAGTTTGAATGTTCAGAAGAAGGAGTGATTTTGGAGTTTTTTTTGAGGATAGGACTATGTGATTTATGTTTATCCGCTGTTAGGTGTTCAAGAAGCCAACCAGTCACCAGAGCTCACTTGGACCAATTGAGAAACAGCAGAGAAGGAATGTATTCTGACAACTGGAAAGTGCCAGAATTAGAATGTACCTATTGGATAGACAAGCCTTTTATGAACATTATAGGAAATGGAAAGAAAGATATGTCCACTTGTGATATGCCAAGAAGGAGTCACATCATTCTACTTTTGCGGTGCTCTTTACTTAACATCCAAGTTACCGGATTTGACTGGGAACTCAATAGTCTCAACTTAAATATCATCTTCATTTCTGCTCAATGACCCACTAGACATTGCTTTAAGAGAATATGTAATCATCTCCATCTATTTCTCTCTCCTCATCTTCTTAATACTAATGCTAGATCACTTTCCAATCTTTCCCTTGTGCTCGGGTCAAATGCTAAGAGAATCAGAAGTCAGCGTACAGGTCTGGATATGTAGAAGGGGGGAATGGAGGACTAGTGTGGAGTCAAACAGGGAGGAGAAAGCTTCAATCAGTTTGGGGACATTTTTGCTAACCTTTCTTTACAAATTTTCTATAGTTGATTTTCCTTGTGACAGAGAGGACTTGCCTCTTTATCTGAAAACGGATTTTTCTTCAGCTGATGCTGTTCATGTTCTTTCCAGGCATTCAGTGATATTGCCTAAAAATATTTAGTCTGATAATCAAAAGGGCTTTGACCTTTCTGATTAACAGGATGTAGATTCAGATGAGTTAGTGATTTTCTGCAAATGCTCCTTGGCTTCTGTACAATTATAGCCTGCTTTTGAAGGCACATTCTGTCCTCAAGTGCTGTGAATACACTCTGTCACCCCCACCCCAGTCTCCCTGCCTGCTAGTGAAACCCCTCACCCCTTTTGCGGGTGCAGAGTGAAGATGGGCACCCTTCAGTCTTAAACTTGAGGGATGTGAGTGAGGGGCTATGGATACAAGAATACAACCAGGGTCATCGTTTCTCAACTCCTTTGTGTGAACAGCATACCTTTTTTTGAAATACAGTTTTAATTTTGAAATAATTTTGTATTGACAGAAAAGATACAAAGAGAGTACACAGAGTTCTGTATGCTCCTCACCCACTCTCCCCCAATGTGAACATCTTACGTTACTGTGGTGCGCTTGTGAAAACTAAAAAGTCAACATTAGTACATTATTTTTAGCTAGACTGGAGATACTTGAATTTCACTAGTTTCTTCACTAATGTCATTTTGCTGTTCCAGGATCTGATCCAGCACAGTACATTATATTTAGTACAGCATACTTGGTAGTAGAGTTTTGGTTGTGCTGTATTATTTAATGATATAGGAAGAACTAGAAACAATACTAAATAAGGCAGCAGCAATTACAAAGCCTTTATTGCCACAGTATAAAAGAAATGTCTACTAGTGTCTATAAAAACTTCCATATAAAACTATGTACCTGGTCAGTGTTGGAATGGAACTAGTGGATGTCCTGACTGTGCTCCTACATATATACTCATGGGACAGGCTCTGTGCATACATACGACCCCCCTTGGAAATAGGGTTGATGTTACACTGTTGATTTGACAGCATGATCTGAGCAAGTGAGATTTCACCCTAAACTGAGGAGAAATGCTGACTTGGTGTTTTAGGACACAGAATCTACTAGGAAGACCAGGCTGTAATTTCAGCCTCACCCCATCCTTGCTCCCCCAGGACCATTTCCAAATGGATTTACAAGGAACCAGATGTAAAGCTGATCAGGTTAAGTCTCTGAAGATGTTGTGTAGCTCATATCTAGGGCCAGATGGGTTTCCATTTATTTGCCTGTATTTGCCAAGCACTCAGATATCTTATACTTGACTTTTGGAGATACTGGTAGAGATATTTTAAAATATGTTTTTAAAATTGGGAACTTCTTAATCAGGGAAGGAAAAAGGGGCAAATATAGATATAAGAGTGTGTAAGAGTAAAAACTAATGTAAGATAGTATAATATTAACAGTAACTTAGACAGCATCCTAAACCCCCAAAACATTGAATCTTCAAAATCTTATTAAGTTAGTACTATTATTTTTACCATCATAAGGATGGGAAACTGAGGTTCAGAGGGTTAGGTGGCTTGTCCAAAGTTCATTCAGCTACTAAATGGTGAAGCTGGGATTTAAGCAGAGCAGGGAGACCCAAGGTCAGTGTTTGTAACCACTGTACTGCATGACCTTTCCTTGTGGTACAGGTGTTTGCAGAATGGGAAAAACTTCCCACAGGGGTTGAAGTTGTTAAAGGATATGTTAAGTGATCTGAAAGATCTATTGGCACTGTAGGAAAGAGGGCTGTTTCCAAAATATACCCCAGAATACTTACTGACTTGTGATGAGTTCTCTCTTAGGAGAAATTATAACTAACATTTATTGAGCATTTGCTACTTACCAAGCATTATGTGTTAAAGCTTTGAATGCATTAGCTCATTTCATACTCAAAACAACTCTCAAACAGCCTGGCTCATTTCTACCACAGGGCCTTTGCACTTGCTGTGCTTTCTGCCTGCAGCACATCGCTCCCAGGTCTTGCCCCTTCACAGCTTAACCCCGCTGTCCCCTCATTGGACAGGACTTCCTTGTCTGCCTTCAGCCCCAAAGTTACCTACTGTTTTCCATGTCCCATTGTTTTATTCATAATTTTGTTTTTTCTAAACTTGTCATACTCATTATTTGTGCCTCTCCCACTACAGTATAAACTCTGTGAGAGA